GAGTGGTTCGGTTATCCAGACGACTACTACTAGTTCCGTCCCGTGAAAGCGGCTGCATAGTTCGTTCGTTCGATCCGCCGCTATCGGCCAGGTATCAGTTTATCGGTCGATAGCGGCGAGGTATAATTAAGCAGTTTATCGGCCGATAGCGGCCGATAACCTCGTTTCGTTCGGGAAGCGGCTGTACTAGCAGCGTTAGGCCCAATCGGTAACACCGGTCCTATCGGTAGGCTTGCGTTCGCACCGGGTTCGTCCTGCGGTCGTAAAGCGGCTCGTCTCCGTTCGGGGAGCGTGCGTCCTGCGTTCGTGCCACAAAACGTGGATACTTGGGCGTAATTCTAACTGTACCTAGACTAGAAGAGGAGTTTAAAAGTCGCCGTTAGGGATAGTAGTGGAGAAAGAAGTTATAACAATCATCAACGGAAGGTACACATAAACGGTCATGTTGTTGAGCTTAAATCGCATACAGCAATTGATCTTTTGTCGTGTAGAATATATTCTAATGATTTCGTGTATACCATTTTGTTCATGTTTTACATACCGTTGTATATATATACATATACGTAAGTATGATATCAACTCAATCGTTGTCTATCATAACAATCTAAAGACAGCAATAAGTTTAATGCCTAATAAAGATCATCATTTAATAAGCTGTATGATGTGGGGTATATCGTTCCGTACCGTACACATGTAGTTAAAATAGATATGATTTTATTGATAAACCTGTAATTAATACGATATTAAAAAGCTACCTTTAATAAATTCTACCGAAAGTCTTTTGAATTGTTGATGTGAGCAAGTTGCATGGTGTTATCAAATGGTCGGGTTAATAACATTGTAGTTGGATTGCAGTGTGTATATATATGGAAGTTTATTTAATGTATGAACATTTTGGTTGGCTGTGATTTTGAATGTGATAATGTATCTAAAGGTTGAGTGTAAATTACGTTACAGCATATACACATGTAGCTTCGCACCAATTAAACATATGGGTATTATGCTACATGTATTAGTGAGATCTTTATATTTACCACATAGAATTGCATGAGTAAATCCACCGAAAGGTTCCCACATTATCTCTGCCAGCATTCCGAACACAGCACAGTCATGTTGACAAGGGCGAGATCCCATCAAAAACCGTTTCACACCTAAAACGTAATTTTGACATCGATGTATAATGCATTCATTTTCGTCACCTTTATATACCTATCTCACTACTACTACTACCTTCTGTATTACAAACATCCACCAACACCCACACACACAAATCTGTGTTACTACTTCCCTTACCAGGAATATTATATAGTACTTGTATTTATAAAACCTTTTCTAATGTATGTCACCACTTTTTGTTACAGATAGTCTACAGGACATTATACATTATGTATAACACATGATATCAGTATCCCTCATACTTCTGGTACTGCTACCTTTACAACGAACATGATATAGCACATGCGCATGTTTAACACACTGTGACTATGATTTCCTGAATACTTTCTAATGGTTTGCTTTACCTAAAACATTACTTAGCGCCTGTAGGTCTGTCCGAAGAATTTCGTACACCTCTTCCTTTGAGTGGCGTCCAATACCATGACTATAGGCCATATTCTTGATGGATGATCTGACACGCCAACGAACAAACCAAGGAATTCTCAACACGTTGTATATCTCTTCTGTCTTATCGTACACCCATCGATCCAACACCAAGGTCCTAAAAAAACCGACGAAGAGCATATTACAATATCATCAGCTACATATAACCCTTCCGGTTTTTCATTTAAAGATAAAACAAACCAGTATATAATAATAAAAACAAAACAGATTGCTTTAAATCCGTGTAAGGTTGATATTTTCTCTTCCTTTCTCTAATCAGTAGGATATAGCTATGTACACAGGTAATATATCTTGTAGCATGTTTTGAGCAAAACGCAATATTCCTGTTTTCGTCATTGTCGTTTCAAATTGAGGTTGTCATGTGAATTGATCAACTTCATACATCACATCGAAATAAGCGTAAAGATGTATTTGCAAGTTTTGAAAGCATGTACTTTAACATTCATTGTATACAGGATACACATTTTACAGCAGAAATAGAAACTATGATCAGATCAGAATGGGGATACACTTGTTACTTTAGCTTTTTTAACTATAATTCCAGGGGGGTAGTAGTTTTATTCAATAATAATATTGAAGCCAAGGTTATAAAAGAAAAGAAAGACTTAGATCGAAACTTTCTAGCTCTAGACATTTTTCCAGCTGAAAAAAAAGATTTACACTTGTTAATATATATGGACCCAACTCGGATACACCGAGCTTTTATTAAAAAATTGTAGATGTTGTAGTGGAATTCAGTAATGACTCGTTTATTATTTGCGTGGATTTTAATTTAGTTTTGAACCCAGAATTAGATTGTAACAATTATAGACAAGTTAACAACCCTAAGGCAAGAGAAAGAGTCTTAGAGATGATAAATGAACTTAATTTTATTGATATTTATAGAGAACAACACCCAGAAAGTAAAAAATATACATGGAGGAGGTCAAATCCAATAAAGCAAGCAAGATTATATTATTTTTTAGTTTCTGAGAACCTTATATCATGTATACAAAAAAAACAAATATTGGCCCAGGCTATCGTTCTGATCATTCCATACCATGTATAGCAATAAAGTTCAAGGATTTTAAGAAAGGAAAATGCCTATGGAAGTTTAATAACTCTTTACTTCATGATTTAGATTATCTGAAATTAATAAATAAACATATACTAGACGTTACAACTCAGTATGCAGTACCAATATATGCTCAGAATAGTTTAGATGATATTTCAAATGAGGATATTCAATTTACAATAGATGATCAACTTTTTTTAGAAACTCTTTTATTTGAAAATAGGGGGAAAACCATTTCATATGCGTCCTATAAGAAAAAACAGAGAACGAGTCAAGAACGATATCGAAGGGAAAGAATCAAAGAATTAGAAGAACAAGAGGATGTGCTTTTTAGATTTAGAAGGAAAACAGAAAGAATTAGAGTCAATAAGAAAACATAATCTTAAGGGAAGTATTTTAAGGTCTAAAATAAAATGGATGGAAGAGGGTGAAAAACCTTCAAGGTATTTCTTAAATCTGGAAAATAGGAACTTTGTTACCCAAATTATACCAGTTGTAGAAAAGGATGATGGGGAAATAATTAGAAATCAGGGGGAAATTTTAAATGAAATTCAACAGTTTTATGAAAAATTGTATTTAGAAGACAATCAATTACATAATATTAATTTGAATGAATATCTTAATGATGATAGTATATCAAAACTGAATCTTATAGAGTCGAACAATTTAGAGGGTAATATTACCTTTAATGAGACATCTCATACTCTTAAAAACATGAAAAATAAGAAAAGTCCAGGTTAAGACGGGTGAACAGTAGAAATTTTTAAATGTTTTTGGAAACAGCTAGGTCATTTTGTGGTAAGATCAATACAATATGGGTTTAGTATCAACAAACTATTAGTAACACAGAGGCAGGGAATCATAACATGTTTACCAAAGGGAGATAAGCCAAGACCATTCTTTAAAAAATTGGAGACCTATTTCACTTCTGAATATAATTCATAAAATTGCTTCAGGTTCAGTTGCGACTAGAATGAAAAAGATAAATTTATAAATACAGATCAGACTGGCTTTATTTCAGGTAGGTATATTGGTGAAAATACCAGAATTATATACGATATTATGCACTATGCTGAAGAAAATGATATTCCAGGTATGTTACTGAATGTTGATTTTGAAAAAGCCTTAATTCGGTTAATTGGGATTTTATTGATTAAGTGCTTGCATTTTTTAATTTTGGGAAAGATATAAGGAAAAGGGTCCATATTTTTCAAAATGGTTCAATTTCATCTGTTAATCAGGGGGGGGGGGGATTTGTCTTGGTTTTTTAATATTAAACTTGGATATCGCCAAGGTGACCCCATCTCTCCATATTTATTTATTTTATGCGCTCATGTACTAGGAATTATGATTAGAAATAATATTAATATTAGAGGAATAAATATTGAAAACACTCCTATATTCTTATCTCAATATGCAGATGATACATCAGTTATTCTTGATGGGTCTAGAAATTCTTTAAGAGAGACACTGAGTGAATTAAAAAATATGCAGATATATCTGGGTTAAAGATAAACAAAAGTAAGACTGAAGTCATTTTGATAGGAAGCATGAAATATAATGAGGAAAACTTTTGTCCAGAATGGAATTTAGATTGGGGAAACAGAAAATTTTCTATTTTGGGTATTGACTTCCATGTAGATTCACATTTAATGGTAAAAAGGAATTTTGACAAAATAATAGTTAAACTTAAATCCCTTTTAAATGACTGGAATAAAAGAAAACTTCCTAACCCTAACCCTAACTCCTGTTGGTAAAATACACATAATCAAATCATTGCTAGTATCACAATTCAACGACTTTTTCATAGCTTTGCCAAATCCTGACTTATCCTTTATTAAAAGACTAAACTCAGAACTCTACAACTTTCCTTGGAATAGTAAAGAAGACAAAGTGAAAAGGGATATTATACTAAAAGACTGTAATGAAGGAGGGCTGAAAATTGTAGATTTACATTCTTTTATTAGAGCGCTGAAGTTAACATGGATTAGAAGATTATATTCTAAATCAAGTTAATGGCAAAGTATCCTAGAAAAAAGTGTTGACTTAGGCATATTGCCTAGCTGTGGATCAGGATACATAAAAGAATGTGAAATGAAGTGTAAAAACCAGTTTTGGAAAGATGTATTCAACTGTTGGAGGTGTCTTGTTGACATTGCTCCAAATTCTGATATTCTGACATATGGAAATCTATTCATGGAAGGGTTTCGGCCACTTTGCAGAAAGTCTTGCCATCTGCTACCAGGGAGTCAAAAACTCAATTCAAGAAGGATGTAAAGACCAATGTCTGCATTTTAGGCTCTTTTGCGCAGACATCATGTACACACCACCCTATATATACAAATATTTATATGAATATCGCGATAAATGCCCTTTTACCTGAAGTAAATGCTGTTTTGTATGCCTTTTTTATCTATAATATTTTAAACTGTTATTGTAGGAACACCATTATTTATGTGCTGTGAAGCGCCGTACAGTAATTTTTGCAAAATATCTTATATATTATTATTATCATTTTTTCTTTTAATCAAGCATCTTGAACAGAAAAAACCTGCGTATGAGTTTTGAGAAAGATCTGTAATTTACTTTCCTGGTATGACGGTTGCCATCTTTTATTCCAGTCCTGCTAAAATGAATTATGGTTAACTTAAAACCTAGTCAAGAATAGTCTAGATAACAATTACGAAAGTCCACTCCATTACTTTCTGAGAAATCGCTACAGCAAACCATATCATTTACTATCAACACCAAATATAGATGCCTTTCGGTAGAGTTAGGGTTAGGATAGGGTTAGGTTACGCCATTGTTGTGTTTGATATTAGTATCAAAATACTAATATGGCATTTAATATAAATAAGAACAAAGGGAAACCTGTCAACAGAACAGATCTGCCAAAGACTTCTTGACAAATAACAATAGCAAACTCAATCCGCCTAACTTCAAAAGGGGTGCCTGGTGCTAAGGACTACACCAATAACGACACGAAAGTCGTAAAAGATCTGTCCAGACCTTCTCGACATATAGCGATAACAAACTTAAACTATCAAAAAAGAAGTACATCTTCAGAATTAGAGAGAAGAAATGGAAACTGTCAAGCAGCCATCTTATTTCCCCAATAGTCTCAAAATAAAACATGCGCAAATACATATGCAGTTTCAGAAAGATCCGCTGGACACTTCTTGATAAATTGTGATAACAGGAATTCATTCAAGACGTACAATGATTAGTCAATGGACGTATGGATGGGCTATCTACAAATCACAGGCGAAAGGTGGTTTGAATACCCACTGACATTGGTGGAGTAACATAACCTTTCTGTGACATCATCACTGCCATATAAAGATAGGTGAGGTCGTATCACAACACCATTGCGAACTTCAAAGACAACATTAGGCCGATAGGACCCTTTTGTCACATATGATTTTCTTTTAACCCTAATTGAAATGAAATAACATCAATTTAATATTTGTTGTTAATCCCAAAACTTAATATATTGTGATATCCGAAGTATATTTTGGTTTTTAAATAGAGTGAATAAACTTCATTGTATATTATGCATCTTAATATTATTTCTTATGTATTTTTTTCCACAAATCTCAAAACTTGTAAATTTGATGAATGTCTCATAATTAAATTTATATAAAAGGTTATAATCAACAAACATTATTTGAAATACTGAATTAAAATTTATTATACGTATGTAATGTAATGTATAATTATTATCTCTTGACTTTGAACAATGAAACCGGCTGCTCACCAATATGTATTTTCCTCAACCATTCGTTGTACAGCCCTGCCAACTCCCTTCTGCTCTGAACTGAGATGACTGTTTAGATCAATCCCTTGCGCTTTATCAATGCGAGCGATGCAAAATTCTGAGTCGGCGGTTGCTTGTCCTTTGTATTCTATCCACGGCCATTTTCCTTTTGGTCCTTTGTCTTTTCCGTGTATCGACTGCGATCAAAATATAGTATGCTTAATTTGATTGATTAGGGTTAGGTTTAGGGTTGAAAGATTTGATGTATGATTCCGCCTAAAGGTGTTTCACTCAAGCATGAAAAATGACCGAGGATGGAAACTTTTGCGTATGCTATACATGTACTGTATCTGTAAACAATTTTTTATTTTATATATGATTCATTTTTGTATCCCTATGAAGCTGAATCAAACATTTATCCGTACCATTACTTTCACATTCAAATGTATTGATGTTTAGTTATTGAATTGAATAATGTAATAATGATTCCTTTGTATACACAATTTGAAATAGATTATACTTCAAACTTTTATCATTCATAACAATATATTGTCACTTATTTACTGAGTGACAATCACTCCTCCACGACCAAATTCTATGAGAATGTGATGCCTTAAATATTATTATGGTCAACTTCCTCCCTTTTCCTAGCAGTAACATATCGGATTCCATTGTTTATAAAGTGTGCCTGTCATGTTGTGTTTGTTACTCCAAAGAATATATGATACATTTAAATAGTCTGGATAAATCAACTAACTAAACTCTGATTTCTAACCATTAGGCATAGATAGCCATGATAACTAATACAGCCCTCCACTTGGTACCAGAATGTAATCAGCACTAGCTGCGATCACGAAGAGTGGTAGAACCCACCTATTTATGTATGTGTTTAAGTAAGTTGACACTCATTCTGTCTTCAAAGTCTTCTTCGTGTACGGACATATTTCGTATTTGAGACAAATTCTTCAATACCATAACCACCTAGTTGACTGTTAAATAAATATGTACGTTGGAAACCCATGACTTAATTTTCAATTCATGTGTGTTGCTTGTGTTTCAAGGTTACTTTAAGCGATTTCATAGATTATATAGGGTGCTGTATAAATGTTGCAATGTAGAGTCATCATTGTTGGGAGTACTAACATACCTGATATTTGACGCCTGCAAATCGCAAGTAGGACTCAAGCTTAACAGCAAACGGTGTAAGGCTTGGTACATGAGGTCCACGCCCGATCTGTCTGAGTATTACTATATCATCTGAAACAATTGCCCTGAAATGACAAGAACATTATACCTATTTAAAATGGTAAGCACATAGTGTGTTATACAATGTTATAGATACAGTTTGCGGCTAAAACATCACCACAACTCTACAGGACACAAAGGCGATCCAGGAGGTATATCACCACAACATCTCTACAACTCTACAGGACACAAAGGAGATCCAGGTGGTATATCACCACAACATCACCACAACTCTACAGGACACAAAGGAGATCCAGGAGGTATATGCTTAAATGTGTTAATGTATACAATACCTGTTCGCAGTATCTATTCAGTCCGATAAACTTTTTAATAAAAGATGTTAACTTGCTGATTTGCACTTATTGTATACATTTAAATCCAGGTCCTCTGCAGAGACTTGAAATATAAGAACTAAAACTGTTTTATTGTATTTAAATTAAATGACAGTGATTTACTTAACTTTAACTGAAACCGATCTTATTCCTGAAATTCCAGATTCTGAAATAACAATTAACTGTTATTCAGTTGTATTTGACAGATTAGATAGAACTAGTCCTAGAGGTTATTTAATCTACCTTAAACGTAATTTCTACACAAAAAGTTGACCCCATTTTGAACATGATACAATCGAGATGATATCGATGATATCAAATGTTATGAGAGATATGCTCCGGACAAGTGGTATCTCAATTATTTTGCATGCACGTCACAGTTTACATGATATTCTGTCTTCCCGAAATACACAAGCGTACATAATTTGATTATCCTAGATGGAAAATGCGGGAGTTCTGCTACTGACCGACAAACGAACGGACCCTGGGTATAACTATATAGCTGGTCCGTATTGTAGAGGGGAATTATCAGAAAGTTTTGTTGTTATCAAAGGTTTATTAGTCAACCTGTAAGTTTAGATATGTAGTATACATGAAGGCGATATTCAAATGTTGATATTAACAATAGTCTCATAATAGTTTCCTACGCAAAGTACAATACATATAGATCTATTTAGATATCGAGACGTCGTATCGTGATAAAAAATAATGCATTAACGCAAAGCTTGACCCTTACACTATTTGAACAAGTGTATATGTACCTTTCTGGTGCTTATTACTGATGCGTACCTGTGTGTCCTGTTATTGGGGTTAATCCTCCTAAACAATAGCAAAACAACAACACCAGCCAACATTGTCCCTCCAATCACCGTTGCGCCCCAAGGTAGGTTTTCCATGGTCTGTAACACGACTGACATCTTAAAGGTTGTACTAGACTTTGAGCCTGGGATACAATAAAAGTATTAGAGGCGTTAACCGTTCCGTTCCGTTCCTGTTATTTTCTTTGATTTTTCTGGCGATACTATCCCGTTGACCTATATTATGACTCGGTCATCGCCAGCTATATTATTGAGTGATGGAGGACATACCCGTTTAGCGGGTGTTAACATTTTACCATAATCCAAACATGTCGACAGTGTCCCAGTGTGTATTAGTCTAACGTGGTGCTTTGGTGACCTCACACTCATGTCGACACGCGTATTACTGGACTACATATACCCCCCCCCCCCACACACACACCAAAACAAAAACATGCACACACACACAAAAATACACACACAAACATACACATATAGATGACATCGATTCACCTTTCATGTTTCTAAATAAAATACACACATGATATTGAATTGATGTATAAATAAATAATTTGTAAATGATATGAAACTATTATTTGATAGATTTTTAAATTATCTAATCTGTGTACCTGGTACATTAGCAGTTTTTAAAGCATAGTTTGTTTCCAAAATATGATATTTAAGACTTCCAAAAGGACGGGATCAAGACAAACTCAAGGTCATGTTAATGACAACAAAACTTCCACAATGAACCATACACAATAACAAGGACACACCCAGATGCTACTATATTAAGATACACGTTTCCCGAATATAGTATCTGTAATATTAACTTCTGTCAGATTTTCACACGTATATAGGACGCCTATGATCTAGCATTGATCCGGTCTGTGAATCATCAAAGATACTTAAGTGTTTTATTAGTGAACATCATATCTAGACGATGACCGTGCGCTTATTTAATATAGAAAAACAAATCACAGGTAAAATAATCTAGTTAAATAGTTTATTTGTGAACAGGATGCATCTATTTAAAAAAGCTGAAATTCTACTACTGCGAACGGAGAGTTGACAATATCTGCATATTCAAGCATTGGACGTATAAATATATTGAGATTACTTCAGCATAAAATTGATAGAAAATCACTTGAGACTATTTATTTAATATTTATAAGGCCTATACTAGAATATGCGAGTGTTGTATGGGACAACTGTATCTCAACAGAGAAAAATCTGCTAGAATCCCTACAATTACAAGCAGCAAGAATAATTGCAGGTAAAGACGGGGCAGAAGTCACATTGCTATCTACAAGGAAACTGGATGGGATACTTTAAAGAAAAGAAGAAATGATCAGAAACTAATTCTTTTATATAAAATACTACACCATGATGCACCCCAATATTTAAAAGATATTCTTCAACCACTGTTTAGAAATCCAGAGGAAAATATATATAATATAAGACAACCAAGGCTAATAAATGAACCAAGAGCTACATCAAACCTTTATCTCAGAAGTTTTTTCCCTGATATTACTTATCAATTGAACAATAATAATACCACTAATCAACTCCAGAACCTTTTATTACAGTTGAAGATACATGTATTCAAACTTTTAAATATGGAGGTAACAGAAAATTAAACATAGTACAGTGTCAATTAAGAAATAATGTCAGTCAGTTAAATGCATATCTTTATAATGATCATCTAAGAGATAATTCAACTTGCTAATGTGGTTATTTAAATGAAGATAACATTCATTTCTTTTTAAGATGTCCTTTGTATAATAATGACAGGATTGACCTTAACCTTAACAGATCAATAAATAATATAGATCCACTTCTAAGAGAAAATGTAAATGTTCTTTTATATGGTAGTACTAACCATAATGACCAGGATAATATATATATATACTAGAATGTACCATGAGATTCATTTCTAATACTAAACGCCTCTAATGTATCAACTTAATTAGTTTAAATTATTACCGAAGTTGGTACAAACACTAAAAATATGTATAAAATATGTATATACGTTAAGTATACATTTGTACTATTTACTGGGAATTGGCTGACATTTGTGTAAACAAGTGGACTTTGTGGTCAAGCTATTTTCTCTACAATTCAAAATCTTTGACCACGCTCAATATTTAGTATCAAAGTGTTAATTATACACGACACTGGCCATCACCATGCCATCTTATATTTACCTTCATATAATATAATAATGCATAATTAAATGGATATATAATATATGGGCAATTCTTTTGAGTGAGTGAGTAAGTGAGTGTGTGTATATACGCGAATGCCAGTTTGAGTAGGAGTATATATATGTGTGAGTAATTATATTTATTGTTTCATGTAACCTAATAATAAGTTAAGATTTATTCTGTATATTTTGTAAATTATGTTGTGTGGTCAGTTGCTGCCCCCTGTCAGTGGGACCGCTGGTGTTCAGTGTGATATATGGGGACGAGGCCGTTACCTTTGTCTACCATGTACCATGCAGACCATCTGTGGATTCACGGAGGGGGTAGAGACTGACTAGGGAACTATAAATCTCCTCTTATATCTTACATCCTACGTTCTTCATCATGTAATCTATCTGCACTCTCAAGTAGATTTATTCTCTAGTTGAATCTCCAATTTTATGTGAATGAAATCCTTCTTCAAGTTAAAATCCTGCTAAGCATATGGTCGTCTGCCTGAACCATGCCAATTTTATTGATAATAATCAAGGTAAAAGATATGCTTTACTGATCTGTATCACAATCCACCTCTGTGGTGTAGGGGAGAGAACTCCCATAACACATATATGACTAAAATAACTTAAATTAACGAGTCATTTCGTGGGAGCTCTGGTCGATGACTTCTGTCCTAGATATAAAAAAAAACCTTTTAAATTATTTCACAATTAATATATAATAATATACATTGTCCATTCCATAGGAGAGGGTTTGAATAGGCATTACGCCTGTTGCCCAATTCCTTTTGAAATTTGTATAAGATGCAATTATTAATAAAAAAAAAAGTGAAATGAAAAGCATTAGACGGAAAATTAATGTATATATTTTGCATAGTGATTTCCTATCAATCTTATATTTCAGATACCTAAGCATGTTTATTCTTTTACTAGCCTTTCCTTATATTAATTGAACAGTGGAAGACCAAGTGCAATCTTCAGAAAATGTTAATCCAAGATGTATAGGATGGGCATTATCTCCACAAGAGAAATTAATTAGAGGATGGATAGAATCTTTTTTTTTAAACTAGGTCTTGGTTTAGATATCTTGGTGGGTTTCGTCTACGATGACATATGATGATGTATCGTCTGCAAACAGCTTAATGTTACTCTGGACTATATCAGTGATGTCATTAATGTATAATTGAAATAAAAAAGACCAAGCGCTGATACATGAGGAACACCGACATTAACAACACTAAAAGTAGAAAATGACCTTCAGTTAGTACTAGTTTTCTATCTTCAAGATAATTCTCAAACCAGTTAAAAACATTGCCTGATATACCATACGATTTAAGTTTATGTAGTAACCCTTCATGCCAACCTCTATCAAAAGCCTTGCTGATGTCACAAAATACAAACATTGATTCTTTCCCTATATCCAGGTTGCTAATTATGGTGTGGTATATAGAAAGAAGTTGGTTTACTGTTTAATCACCTTGGTTAAAGCCTGATTGGTCATTGGAAAGTATTTTATTAGTTGTTAAATAGTTATATAAATATTTGAATATATTTTTTTCTAAGATTTTCCTAAAACATGATGTTACAGATATTGGTCGATAATTGGAATAATTATTTTTTAAACCATTCCCTTTGTATACAGCACAAACATTATCCATCTTCCATGGCCCAGGTATGCACCCATTAGATATAGTTTTGTTATGACTTTAGGTAACATGCCATCAGGTCCAGCTAGTTTGTTTTCATTAATATAGTAATTTGATCATCAACATCTTGTTTCAGAGACTATTATGTTTTCTAATTTTGATAGAGTGGAAATATCTAATACTGGAGGTTCAGCAAATGTATCTGATGTTGTGGCTATAGAAGTAAAATATTCATTAAGGGCTTCAGCTTTATCAGTTGGACGTTAAATCTGTGTATTATTAACATTCAACGGTGGAATTGGTTCAGTTTTATTGTTGAAATTAGTTATAGATTTAGCAATTTTCCACTATTTATTAGGGGACAATGATTTATCCCTAGAGACTTTTGAAGTTTATCAAGATACTTATGTTTTGCGTCTCTTACCAGATTAATAACATCATTCCTTATTTGTTTATATTTATTCCAATGCTCTATTTTGTCAGTATGTCTGGCTTTCTTATGTAACCTAATTATTTGTCTCATCTTTAGCCTAATATTGGTATGTATCCTTTGCTTGTCATCAAGTCGGATTAAAAGACAGGGACTGATCTCTGGCGCATGGACTAATGATGGAAGGATTGTTATCCGCAACCAGCAAGGGAGAAAAACTCAGGTAACCACGTTGGATGAACTGTCAACATACCCTGACCCCCTCCTATTGTTGATAATCTTGATCGGCCCTTACATGGTTATCGTACGGATACTGAGAGGCTAAGTCAAGTGACTTTCATTCCATATATATGTGTTATATTTTCAATCAATTCATGTTTAAATATCTGTATATAGACCTTATATATATATATATATATATATATAATCTTTTCGCAAAAATCTGTGTTTTTACGTAACATATAATGTCCTCCCACATTTTGTTATATCTATAGCGTATTTATTCCTGTCAACATTATATTAGTTTGATCTCCATTAGCCACGTGTACACACAGCCATAACGTACAGTAGTTGTATCAGCTATTACATATACGATGATTTCATAGTGTGACATGACTATTGTGTTGATGCATAAACAAAACAAGGAAATGAATGTAACCTAAATGCTTGTATATATGCATAATATCTAACAATTCATGTTTAAATACCTCTATATACAACTTTATAATCTTTCTACAAGAAATCTGTATTTTTACGCAACATAATGTCCTCCCACATATTGTTAG